AGCTCTCAGTGTCTACCAGGCACTCCACCAACTACTTTATGGAGGGCAGGGTACTTCATCAGCCCTTCTCCCCTGTCCCATGATTTCCTCAGAGACAATTTAAAGGTACTTTACACCACAAGAAGTCCCTTCCTACCAGTGTGACCACTGTCTCATCTGCCACCATTAGTGCATCCCAGAGGCAGCCTGTTATTGGGGCAAGTAAGGAATCAAAAGCAGATGAACTGACAGTTGACTAAGCTTGATCAAGTCTTGACTCAACATAACTAGTCACAAAATAACTACTCTTAAGACATCAAGTTCTTGCTACAGTTCCAAATAAAATGCCTCTTATAAAAAAAAAAACATCAAATCCTTCTACTTCATGTTACATGACAAAAGGAGCACCTTGTGCCATTCTACCAACACCCTCAGTTTAAGAAAGACAACAAGAATTCTGGGACAAGTGCAGTGGTTTATACCTGTAACTCCAACATTTGAAAGGATGAGACAGGAGGATCACTTGACGCCAAGAGTTTCAGACAAGCCTGAGCAACATAGCAAAACCTTGTATCTCAAAAAAAATTTAAAAAGTTTTTTAACTAGCTGGGTATGGTGGCTCACGCCTGTAGACCCAGCTAATCAGGAGGTTCAGGTGGGAAGATCACTTGAGCCCAGGAGTTCAAGGTTACAGTGAGCTATGATCACACCACTGCACTACAGCCTGGGCAGCAGAGTGAGATTCTGTCTTAAAAAGGCTGAATGCAGTGGCTCATGTCTGTAATCCCAGCACTTTAGAGGCCAAGACAGGCAGATGGTTCGAGGTCAGGAGTTCGAGACCAGCCTGGACAACATGGTGAAACCCCGTCTCTACTAAAAATACAAAAAATTGGTCAGGCATAGTGGCATGCACATGTGGTCCCAGCAACTCAGGAAGCTGAAGTTGGAGAATCGCTTGAGCCCAGGAGGTAGAGCTTGTAGTGAGCTAACACCACTGCACTCCAGCCTGCACAACGGAGTAAGTCTCCATCTCAAAAAAAAAAAAAAAAAAGAAGAAGAAGAAGAAGAATTCTGGTCAAGTCTCTACTTCCTTGACATCATCAAAAATAGCATAGATGGCCAAACCTCAGAGGGATCTATCCACTCATTCCAGGTAGTCTTACTTGTATTCATGCTCAATAGTATTTCATTTCATAGCAACTCCTCCTGTAAAACAAAAAACTTTCTGAAGGTTAAAATAAGAGGACAGGCTAGGTATGGTGGCTCACATCTATAATCCGAGAACTTTGGGAGACTGAAGCGGGAGGATCACTTGAGCCCACTGCACTCCATCCAGGGCAACATGGGTTTGCTTTGACTAGAACACCGTTCTCTTCCTGTGCATCTTGCGGATCTCACTTAAAATGTCATTTCTGTTGATTTCTCTAAAACACTTGTCACAGTCATAGTTTTGCATTTGTGTGGTTGAGTATCATCTACTAAGGACAGGGATCATATACGCATTCACTCTCCCCCATCTCCAATATATTTGTTGAATAAGTGAATAAATGATCACTAAGTCTATAAAAAAGCAACAAAACATCTTTTAAGAGTACTTAAGAGTTTGTTCATCTTCACAAATGTATCTTTGGTGGATGCCCAAAGCAATTGAGCCTCCTTACTACACTAAAAAAAAAAAAGTCTCAGATGTATACATAAATTGCTCTGGCTTTCAATGTGTCAAGGCAAATGCTGAGCATCAAAGGCTGATAGGCTAAACACACACACCCTCCATATATAGAGCACACCTACTGGTTACTAAGTAACAGTTGTTTTTGGTATTTCCTGATATAGTTAATGCTACATAGGAAGCACTTCAGAAATATCAGTCAAATAAATAAAGAACAACATTTCACAAGACTCTTGAGCATGACTGAAACAATAACTATACTTAAATTGTGGTCTTTCATATAAACCTAACACCAAATGCAGAAGCAAAGAATCTCTAAGTGGCAAAGCCCTCAATTAGTAGCTTCACTATCTAAGATCTCAAAGAAGAAAAATGCCCTCTAGATTTGTATTAAGAGGATTTGAAAGAAATAGATCACAAATCAAGTGACTTGAGAGCATTAAATAAGACCTTCAAAATGCCACATGGAACTTTTTCCCAAACTCTTAAGAATATAAGGCAAGGAATTAGGACTTCCTGTCCCCTCCATTACAAATACAAATTATATCTGTACTTTAGAGACAAATGAAGTCCCATTTAACCCATAAATGATTTCTCCAGCCTCTGACCTACTATAGCACTTAATATCTCTACCAAATGTTTTGCCTTTAAACAAATGCCCATTTTACTGCTTTCCTAACAATTTCATGTGTGCAGTCTTTCTTTTATATCCTTTAAAGTATATAATGCTGTAGATGCTTAATATTTATTAAATCGAAATGAAATTATAATTTTGAATTATGAATTTTGGTACAAAAACTCCCACATTTTATTCCCAAATAACGTCATTTCCAAAAATGGTTCAGATGCCTCAGTTTTAGCTACATCATCATCAAATGAAAAATAAAGTCATTATCCAACCATGTTCAAATAAGGCTTACAGTTTTCTTAGTACCACTCATTCAAACTCAATCAGGAGAGGTTTTCCAGTGCCATAGTGTTTTTTGAAGTGTAAGCCCGGGCTATTAACAACACTCTTCAATGTAGCAAATTTCATTTGAAATATTTCTCAAACCTAGTCAGGCCCAGGAATATTTCCTTTGGCAGAAAAACTGGAAGACACAAGATCTAACCTACAGAATATACTAACCACACCTCACTTACAACTGGAAAGCAAATTCCCCAGATAAGGATAAATTCAAGATGTACAATTAAATAAGTCTCACACCTACAGAACTACGGAACAGAAGAGAAAACTCAGAAATAAGGCCCCACATCTACAACCGTCTGATCTGCAACAAGCTGACAAAAACAAGCATTTTTTTTTTTTTAAGGTCAAATAGGGAAAGGGACTCCCTATTCAATAAATGGTGCTGGGATAACTGACTAGCCATATGCAGAAGAATGAAACTGGACCCTTATATTTCACGATATACATAATGGGTTAATGATTTAAATGTAAAGATCTCAGCCAGGCACAGTGGCTCATGCCTGTAATTTCAGCACTCGGGTAGATTGAGGCAGGTGGATCCCTTGAGCCTAGGAGTTAGAGACCAGCCTGGGAAACATGGTGAAACCACAAAAAATACAAAAATTAGCCAAACATGGCAGTGCACAGACGTAGTCCCAGCTACTCAGGAGCCTGAGGTGGGAGGATCACTTGAACCAGGGAAGTCGAGGCTGCAGTGGGCTGTAGTCACACCACTGCACTTCAGCCTGGGTGACAGTGAGACCCTGTCTCAAAACAAAAGACCTAAACTATAAAAATCCTAGAAGAAAATCTAGGAAATTCACTTCTTGACACTGACCTTGGCAAATTTTTGGCTAAGTCCCCAAAAGCAACTGCAGCAAAAACAAAAATTGACAAGTTGTAACTAATTAAACTGTAAAGCCTCAAACAGCAAAAGAAATTACCAACAGAGTAAACAACCTACAAAATGGGAGAGAAAATTCACAAACTATGCATCTGACAAAGGTCCAATATCAAGAATCCACATGTAACTTAAACAACAAGCAAAAACATACGAGCCCATTTTTTTTAAATGGGCAAAAGACATAAACAGACACTTCTCAGAATAACCTCCCCTCCCCCCAAAAAAAACCTGGACATACAAGCAACCAACAAATATATGGAAAAAAAAATGCTTATATAAGAAAAATGCCAATCAAAACAGTGAAATATCACCTCACACCAGTCAGAATGGCTATTATCAAAAAGTCAAAAAACAACAGATGCTGGTGAGGCTGTAGTGAAAAGGGAACACTTACACACTGTTCGAAAGTAAATTAGTTCAGCCACTGTAGAAAGCAGTTTAGAGATTTCTCAAAGAACTTAAAGAGCCACCATTTCACCCAGCAATCCCATTGCTGGGTATAGAACCAAAGGAAAACAAACCATTATACCAAAAAGACACAGGCCCCTGTATGTTCACGGCTGAGCTATTCACAATAGCAATGACACGGAATCAACCTAGATGACCATCAGTGGCCGACTGGACAAAGAAAATGCGGATGTACACCATGGAATACTACGTAGCCACAAAAAAGGAGGAACTCATGTCCTTTGCAGCAGCATAGATGGAGCTGGAGGCCATAATCCTAAACGAATTAGCACAGGGACAGAAAACCAAATACCACATGTTCTCACTTATAAGTGGGAGCTAAACATTGAGCACACATGGACATAAACACGGGAACAATAAACACTGTGGACTACCAGAGGGAGGGTCGAGATGGGGGATGTGGGTTTAAAACTACCTACTGGGTACTATGGTCACTACCTGGGTGCAATATACCCATGTAACTAAACTGCATGCGTATCCCCCATATCTAAAATAAAGGTTTTAATTATTTTTTTAAAAAAAAGAGTCTCTACGATCAATAAAGCAGATAAAGGGTATCACTGTGGAAAGCACGTCAAGAATAGTGTTATAACTAAACGGCTGCTGTTCAAGATTACTGAGGCACCCCATCCCTGCCAGTCCTGAACATCTCGATCAAGACCCCTGAGAACCGCGTCCACAGGTAACCGAAGCCTCGGAAAGCATCCTCTCTATAGCAACAGGCTCTAATACTGGTCTCGGTCCCCTCACAGCATCCTAGGGTACAAGGGCCCAGGCGCTATGAGCGCGGCTTGGGAGGCCGGGTCGGTCAAGAGCAAGAGTGGGAAGCGGCTGACACTGAGGGAGATGCGAGACAGAGGAGATGCGTGGGCCGGGGAGCAACGCCAGAGGCGGAAGACGTTCCTCCCGGGCCGCCGCTGCAGGTGCCTGGCGAAGCGCCGCGGAGCCTCGCAGAGGCCAGACCCCGGGTCGCCCCCGAAGCGGTCGTACAGCACTAGGCGGTGTAGCCGGGAGGAGAGTGAGGGCCTCACCTTTTCTCCCCGGAGGCCGGCACCGCCGCAGTCCCGCAGTTGCTAGGGAGAATGCTCTTCCGGGTCACGGGCGCGGCGTTCTAGAGAGCGACGGTGGCCGGGTGGGGCCAGGAGCGACGCGCGAGGGGTGTGTGCTCCGCGGCGGCAAGGGCGAAGTGGCTGGACCAGGAGCCTCCGCGCCTTCTCCGGCCTCACTCGCGGGGACAACTCGCTGCAACCGTTGGCCCCCAGTGGGCGGCCTCTGAGACGTCTTGTGCCGGGCTCCTCTCCCACCGGCGGGAGCCTTCCAGGCCCGGCTCCTGAACCTCAGGGCTCTGCTCCACCCGGCCAGGTCTTGCACTGCAGACTCCCCCGGCCCCTTTCCTGTTACAAGGCTTTGCTCATTCTTTCATTTACTCATTGCTCATTTATTGGACAGTTGCTCAGGGCGAAGTGCAGTGCTGGCCCTGAGGATAGAGAGATGGGCAACCCCCGCGTGGTCCCTGCCCTCAGGTTGCGTGGCTGATGGCAGAGCAGGCAGACGGAGTCCCGCACGCGAGGATGATTGAAGGAAAGGAAAGAAGAGGAGCCTACCCAAGTGGCCCATCCAGACATGGGTGGGGAGCAGCTGGTGATGGAGACGTCAACCTAGTAGAAAGGGTAGGGAAGAGGGTTTCAGGTGAGAGAGGAAGCGTAGTTGAGAAAGCCGTGACACTTCAGTGTGGCCCGCCCAGGACGTGTGTGGAGAGGAGACAGTCGCTAGGCACCGGCCTTAGGAAACACCAATATTGTAGATGGAAGCAAAGGAAAAGGAACCCCCAAAGAGCAGCCAGAACGTTTGGAAGAGCACAAGAAGAAAGAATGTCAGTCAGAAAGAAAGAAAGACGGCCGCCATTCTCAAGCTATAGAAATCAAGTGTCCATTGGTAACCATAGAAAAATCAAACTTCCAAGACCAGCCTGGCCAACATGGGGAAATCCCGTCTCTACTAAAAACACAAAAATTTGCTGGGCGTGGTGGCCGGCACCTAGAATCCCAACTACTTGGGAGGCTGAGGCAGGAGAGTTGCTTGAACCCTGGAGGTGGAGGTTGCAGTGAGCCGAGATCATACCACTGCACACCAGCCTGGGTGAGAGAACAAGAGTCTGTCACAAAAAAGAAAAAAAGAGAGAGAGACAGACTATATTTTGCAAACCATTTTGTTTAAGTATAACCTGGTATTGCTAAAAGGTAATTGTTAGACAAGCCTGGGGTTAAGATGAGGCTGCGGTGGAATGCAGACTTCCCTTCTATTTTGTGGTGATGACAATGTTCTAGAATTGAAGATGAAATGGTAGTATGACTCCAGGATGAGCCCTTGGATTTCCGATGCACAGGTGCGCCTGCTTCCCACCATCTTTAGGTTGATCTTTCTCCTTCCCCACGTGTTCCTCGCCTCTTCCCCCAGACACACAGCTCTGTGTTCACCATGGCAAAGCCATCCTGGCTACAAACCACCCTTGAGGTAGAGCTGGTGAGATGACTGTTTTGAGGAGCCCGGGAGGGACAAGCTACATTTAAATTGTTAGGAAGTGTTTGCCTACAAGGATTTCTTAAAACTCTTTCTAGGCATACCTCAAGGGAAATATTTTCTCCTCTCACCTCTTATCAACAGATGGTCAGTAAATTGAACACACTTTGCTCTGAATATGACAGCTGCCCATGAAAAGCTATCAGGCAGCCCCGGTAAGCAGGCAAGAAACTCTGGTGAGAGACTAAAATGCACATGAAACAATTCAGCAGCTGCCTGGCTCTTCCTCTAAACTCATTACTGCTTTCTCCACCTTGAGAGAAAACCTCACTTGGGGCCCTGGGTATCCATAGTGTGAATTTCAGCAGTTTTGGGTGATCCTTGGAGGCTTGCTTGTCACATCTTTATGTAAGGGTTTGGTAAGCCACATGGTTTCAATAAGCACAACAGACACATCTGGTACACCTTTGTTAACCTCCCCAATGTATATGACGTAGACATTTTATTGAGTACAAACCCAGGTTTGAATTCTAGTTCTGCCATTCCTTGGGCAAGTTCCTCAACTTCAGTGTGCTTCAGTTTCCCCATCTATAAAATGGGAATGAAAATAGCCATTAAGATTAAAAAAGTTAATAGCTAGTGGCTAAGTAAGCACTTAGAATAGCACCAGTATACAGTAAGCATGCTACAGATATTCTTTTTAACATCCAGTTTGATCAATTGTTCCTTCTGATTTCCCTCTACACTTTATTCTTCACTGATAATGGAATGATTTATCAAATTTAATCATTAATATATATATCCTCAAGAAAATAAAAACATAGACCAGTTTTTTATTACATGGCTCACACCTGTAATCCCAGCACTTTGGGAGGCCAAGGCAAGCAGATTTCTTGAGGTCAGGAGTTCAAGACCAGCCTGGCCAACATGGTGAAACCCCGTCTCTACTGAAAGTACAAAAAGAATTAGCGAGGTGTCATGGCACACACCTATAATCCCAGCTACTCTGGAGGCTGGGGCACAAGAATTGCTTGAACCCAGGAAGCAGAGGTTGTGGTGAGCTGAAATCGTGCCACTGCACTCCAGCCTGGCAGCAGAATGACATGTCTCAAAAAATAATAAAAATAAAACCATATATCCCCCATTCAAAAATGTGTACATACCTGCTCATAGCAGCATCATTCATAACAGCCAAAAGGAGAAACAACCCAAATGTCCATCAGCTAACAAAAAGAAAACAAAATGTGGTGTTATTCATATAGTGGAATATTATTTGGGCATAGAAAGAAATTACTGATACATGCTACAACATGGATAACTTGAAAACATTGTACTAAGTAAAAGAAGCCAGACATGTAAGACCACATATACTGTATGATTCCATTTATATAAAAGGCCCAGAAAAGGCAAATCTGTTGACACAGAAAGTAGATTAGTGTTACAAAGGCCTGGGGAGTGGGGATTGGAGGTTGACGGTTAAGGGGTACAGGGTTTCTTTTCAGGGAGATGAAAATGTTCTAAAATTGATTATGGTGATGGTACTCAACTGTGGCTAAACTAAACACCATTGAATTCTGCATTTTAAGGGGTGAATTATGTAGTATATGAATTATATCTCAAAAAGCTGTTACAAAATAAATTTACTTTGTTTCAAAACAGGTGAAAAGAGAGAGAGAGAGAGAGAGAGAGTGTGTGTGTGTGTGTGTGTGTGTGTGTGTGTGTGTGTGTGTAAGTTAATTTATTTTAACCCTCAATCCATTGTATTTACTGATCCTTACAAAACCATGACACTAAAGTTTATTTTCATGCTGACCTTTTAATATGGGATCTGAAACAAAATGTTGAACTAGATTCAACAAACTTGGAAGAGTTTGTTCTTTGTCGAATAAATATTTCCACCTTTCAAGTGACTTTATCCTTTCCAGAGATATAAAGTTGTCCAAGGCATTGACTTATAATAAAAATCTTGAGGGAAACCCAAGTATTCTTATGAAGAAAGTTTCTTGTGAAACTCAAAGCACACAACCAGATAAAGTGAATTTTCACTGTGAGCCCCCATGCACTCATGGCTGGCTTTGGTACCTCCAGCCTTGCAGCCCCAATGTCTGAGGTGGCCCTAGCCCCTAGCTCTGCCGGTCCAGCCACAGTGCAATCTCCTGGGGAGCCTCAGAAACAGTCCCTATGTCTCTGATACTGCTCTCTGCTGCCACCCCAGAGACCAGCCCCTCCCTCAGTGGTCCCTTAGGTGAAAGGGCAAGGAAAGGCAGCCTGCCACCATTTCCAGGGTGTCCTGAGAAAGCATCAGGACCTCAGGGCAGCACAGCCTTCCTCATTCACACTCAGCCTGGCACCCAGAGCCTGCCCATGGAGCCACAATCACAAGCAGGGAGTGGGCTCCTCCCCATGAGAAGTGGATCCCCTGGACTAGGGTGAAGAGAAACACCAGTACTGGCCATGAGTGCAGCTCCCTGTGCTGGTTGTTCTCCACTTTTCCCTTCACCCCCAAAATTCGCTTTCTTTACTCTCTGCCCTGCATAGCCATGATTCCGTTGGGGATTGCTTTCGGTGGTTATCGTCCCAGCAGGAGGCTCTGCTATCACATTCTCAGCTCTCTGCCACAATCCTCTATTTAGTTCTCATATCACACGAATAGTCCCCTCACTAAACTCCCCCAGTAAAACCCTCTGATTTGCCACAATACTGACTCCAACGCCTCTCCCCACCAAGACTCTTGGGGAATCCTAAGATAGAGAAGTAGCTCCCCAAAACGGTGAAATTGACTCTTCTATCATTAGGACAGCTGAAGGCTGGGCCACATTTAATCTGGTTTGGAAAAATTTTTAAAGGTGTCATTCCTTTTGCCTTAGTGTCGCTGAGCAAACTCATACCGTGACGCAAGTGTGGACCTCTGTGTGCAGTAGGGCTCCCTATCACCTGTCCACTGGAAGTCCTTGTGTATTCGCCCTCATTTTGTGAAGAGAGTTTAAATGCATATGACCGTTTATCACCTTGATTAAAGCCCCCTTGGCTACTCCATCCAGAGCATGGCACTTGCCCCTCCTCTCAATCCCCCAGTAGAGCAAAGGCCAGGTTCTCATGGGTGCCTGAGACCACAGGGACGCACAGCACAGGTAACAACGTCACTGCACATGCCCAGACCTGGCTCAGGCTGCTACTGGGGAAGCACCTGTTTCCCGATGGCCAGGGGCAGCTCACTGCTCCCTCTGAAACTGCCCCAGTGCTCCACTTATGGCAAAGCCAGTCCCCACTGACCCAACCATCAGCTCAAGAGAGAGGATCTTTTTCTGCCATCTTTATCAAAGGCCCCACCCTATTCTTCCTGTCCCAGGACATTATCTGACAATGGAAAAATCGGGTCATGCAGGGCCAGGATGGGGTTGACTTCTCTGATCCCATTAAAGTAATCCCAATATATCACAAGATCTAAGTTATTCACATCCATCTGTGGTCAGTTTGTTATATTTTAGTAAAAATGTGGAAGCAACCTACAAGTTTATCAATAGGGAAGTGACTATTTAAATAAATGTTGAGAACTTCATTCAACAGAATGCCATGGAAAATGATGACATAAACCTAGACATAGTTATGTGGAATGGAGCGGATGGGAGGATTGCATGAATAATTCA